GTGGGTGGATGGATGATAGGTAAATGGTAGATATATGATAGATAGGTAAATGATAGATACATGATAGATACGTGATAGATAATGTCTATAGATGATAGATGACGGATGATAAGATATATGGATGATAGACATGATCGATACATAGATGATATATTATAGTGTTGTACCTCATCCACTGGACCCCAGAAAGACCACCGAGGACCCAACAGACCAAAATGCAAAAGCAAAGGTTTATGGTTTATTCGGGCTTAAGCTTGGGCTCTCAGACCTCACCAACTCAACCGAATCTGTGCTGAGAGCTCAGAGTAAGGGAGAGTGGAGCCTTTTATAGGTTTTAGACAAAGAGAGGAGGGGGATACCGAAGATGCCCGCGGGCCAACATAATTTAAAACTGATTGGATGTATAAGATGCAGCCCTGGACGTTTCTTATTGGTAGGTGCTATTCTCAGGGCTGTGGAATGTGCTGACTGATATCTGTGGGACCAGGAATATCCGTTTTTACCTTATACGGCAGTTTTTATGCCCCGGCTTATTTAATCTATAGTTTGGGGGGGATAGCAGGCGAGGGGGGTGGTCAGGGCATGTCTAGGCATGTCTAAAGCAGCAGCCAAGCATTTTACAGAAGCTAAAAGAGCAATTAGTGGGGGGGTCTGGAGAGATTGGGGGTAGCGGGTGAATGAAGAGGGTCTCAGGGTCCTACAATAGATGATACATAGATGTTTAGCTGATAGTAGATAGATGATGGATAGATGATAGATGATTAATAGATAGGTGGATGGTTGATCCATCTGATTGATGGATGAATGATTGATAAATGATGGATATAGATGATAGATGACAGGTATATAGATGATACATAGATGATAGATGGATGATTGATGGACATGTAGATAGGTAGATGATAGAGATGACTGATAACAGTTACATAGCTAGGTGACAGACAAATGGTTGATAATAGATGATTGATAGATTAGAAGATGGTTTAAGAGGAACTCAAATGCCGGGAGTGGTGGCACACGCCTTTAATCCCAGCTCTTTGGAGGTAGAGGCAGGTGGTTTTCTGTGAGTTCGAGGCCTGCCTGATCCACATAGTGAGTTCCAGGCCAGCTCTGGCTACAGGGAGACCCTGTCTCAAAAAGATCCCCTGCCAAAAAAGAGGAACTCAATAAAGTGGACCCAAAGGTGCCACGGAGGTCTTCCTGCAGGTCCTCACAGCCATTGAGTAGCTCTCCTCTGGCACTCATGCAGGGCTTCCACCTGCCTCTTTTCATAACCGTCGAAGGTAAAATAAACTGCAAGCAAACCAAGGTCCATGAACAATAGTCTTGACGACTTGGAATGACTCAAAGGTCTCAGCTTCATTAGACTTTAGATGATATAAAAATAATACCTCTCGGGCCTGGATTATATTAAGGTACTGACAGAAAAAAGGAAAACCGAAAATAGGAGTAAGATCCTTAAAATTCTTAGAAACAAGAATGGTCCCTCTCTCCAACCTATTTAAGGAGGGTAAAGCCATACCTCAGAGTCTGGATCACAAGGTCTCTAGGAGGTCGAGTGCCTGTTTCTTCAGCACTGTCAGCTGAAGAAGAGCCTGAGGTAGAGATGGCCTTACCTTGAAGGGGTTTATAAGTGGACCTTTTGTCCAGGACATGGCTCTTGGCGGGAAGGGTAAAACAGATGCCCAGTGAAGGACCTCTTTTCTTGCCTGGGCCCTCTAAATGTGTCTATCTTGCTTCACAAACCACACAAGAAAATGGTGTGTTCTGATGCTCATGAACCTCTGAAACTCATGGTGACAACCTAATCCCTGACATGACCATATTAGGAGATTCTGCCTTAGAGAGGTATGGGGGGGGGTGTTAACCCTTAACCCATTCTACCACATGAAGTCACAGCAAGATATCACTGTGAATCAGGAAACAAGCCCTCACCAGACACTGAATTTGTTAGTGTTACGGTCTTGAATTCCCAGCCTTCAGAACTAATATTTATATATTTATAGACAGGGTCTTGGGTATTCAAGGCTGGCCTTGAACTCCCTATATAGGGAAGGATGATCTTAAACTTGTAATCCTCCTGCCTCTACCTCCCCAGGACTGGAATTATAGGTTTTGTTTTTTGTTTTTTGCTTTTTTTTGTGTGTGTGTGTGTGTGTGTGCCCCATCTGGCTTTTATACCGTGCTGGGGACAGACCCCAGGGTTTCATGCATGCTAGGTGAGCACTCTGCCAACGGAGCTACATTCTCAGTCCCCTATTACTGATTTTTATTTCTTTTTGTGGTGCTGGGGGTTGACTTGGTGCCTTGTGCAAGCTAGGGAAGGTGTCTGACTTCCATCCTCAGCTCTGTTTGCTACTATATGTATGACATTTACTGTGTCCCTGCTGTTTTCAGGTCTAGTGGGTGGTGGGGACATAGGAGTTGTTGGAGACCACTGCCGTGTTTGAATTCTGCTGAAAGCATACTTGGCATACATACAGAGTCACCACCAGCCAAGGATGCCCACGATGGCAATGCAGATCGGCATATATGCAGGCACGGCTTCTGAGGTGCAGTATCTGTTGTGTTTGGATTAAGATACGAAAGCTGTACTGGTTTACATTGCTCTGTGCACATCTGCTACATACCCCGTAAAGCAGCCACATTTGTTGTAAATACGTTCCTGAGCCCCTGCAGAGTCCTTCAGTTTCTATCTTTTGTTCCTGAATACCCGTTTTGAGTACCTTATCCATGCTAATAAAAGCTTTGGAACTTCGAGACGGAGCTCTTGGTTCTGTGGAACAGGGAGTCTCCTGGTCCCCAGCTTTCTTTAATATTAAAATATCTCATGTATTATGATATACCATCCTACTCTATACACCACCACCCAGTCACTTAGGATGTAGCAAGGTGGTGGTTGGGGGGGACCAAGATCAGAACCTGCTCTTAAGGGGTCTCCAATGTAGAGTACACACTCCTATGTTGCGTACAATTTCTTTCCACTTGATGCCAGCAGGAGCTGAAGACAGAATCCAGTCAGAAAGTAGCCCTTTACCTTGGGGAGCTAATAACAGAGCCAATCAGAGCAAGGCGAGGTAGAAAGTATCCTCCTGATCCTCCAGGATAGTGTGATTCAGAGTCCAGAGAGAAG